CTGGTAAATCAGTTGGTTGTACATGTAACTGGTAAATCAGTTGGTTGCACATGTAACTTGTAAATCAGTTGGTTGCACATGAAATTTACATTGTGCTTCTGACTATCTTTCAATATTCCAAGAAGATGCAGTTGTGTTATAAACAGACCAGGTATTACTGAAAATGGTTTTTAGGAGAAAACTGGACTCGTGGTTTCCATGGAAACACAGTTGGCACAATCTGTGACCCAACAAGAAATGATAGTTTGAGGATTAGATATTCATTTTTATAATTAGTTAATTTTGTGAAATCGTTCTTTATCACCAATTCTTCCCTTATGATTGAACCATATTTTAAGCATTTAGAGGTCATTAAACTGAATTGATCAGCTTTATCTTCCACAGGTTGTCGATCCATGGGGTTGTGTAATTGCGTGCTGCCACGAAGGAGTTGATGTATGCGTGGTAGATATCGATTTAGATTATCAACAGAAAATACGCACAGAGATGCCTGTGTGGAATCATAGAAGATATGACTTGTATGGTAAAATTACCACTCAACCATCAGATGTAGTGAGTGAGAGGTCCGATACATGAAATGTGAAGCTACGATTCTACAATGGTGTTGAATTGGTTGGCTTTAAATAGGATCCTAGTGTTTTTTTTTATTATTATATACTAGTAGTTTCGCAATTTTGTGGTGAGTTGCTTTTGTATGGAGCATCTTAAACAGTGTGTAGAGCTTTGTCGCAGTAATTGATCCATTTATTATTGAAGTAGTGAATTAATGTTTTGTGTGTCAACTGATGTTAATCTAAGAATACTATTCTTAGGAGCAATTGCTCAGGCAGCTACATTGTAGGAGTTCCTAAATAAGACCCATGCTCTGAATTGCCGACTAGTTTCTTCCTTGACCAAGAAACATTTGACAATTTATAGAATGAGCATTCTTGTTATACTGCTTGGTGACATACAGCAGAAGGAGCATTGAATACTGTTTTGCGGAATTAATAATCCCCAGAACAATTTTCCAGTATAGGTAAAAATGAATGTATGAAAATGTATAACTCATTCTCACCAATGAAATAAAGGTATGTATAATGTACTGCAATACAACAAATTAAAAAAGAAATATAAAATATTCCATCAATGACACTTCAGTGCTGTTAATATTCTGATGACATCTGTTTGAAACTGTAGGCAATCAATAAAAAAAATGTATATTAGAAAAGAAAATGTGATTCAGAAATATGGCAAGGCATTTTGTTTCCTTGGAATGTTACAGCTGTGATAGCTGTTCCCCTAGCAACAATTAATAGAGATAAATACCGTAATTCAAATAAGTCAGTTAAATTGCAAAATTCCATGAATACAATGTAAAGTATTACTAAGAATTTTTAATAGGAAAACTGATCTGAAGTCTTCACGGTGGCTAAACTGAGTTGGAAAGTATCAACATGTACACATTTAGTTTTATATCATTAGGTGAAATGCAACTACAGGTAAAATTAAGGGAAAATATAAAAGCTTGTAAATAAATGTGATTGATACTACTGGGG